TCTGTCATTGCCAACAAAGGGTATATAACAAAGTATTGAGATGAAATTTTGTTATTGACCAAATACTTATTTTCCACCATAATTTGCAAATAAATTCTTTAAAAATCCTACAATGTGATTTTCTGGATTTTTTTTTCTCATTTTGTCTCTCATAGTTGAGGTATACCTATGATGAAAATTACAGGCCTCTCTCATCTTATTAAGTGGGAGAACTTGCACAATTGGTGGCTGACTAAATACTTTTTTCCCCCACTGTATATAGCCTGCAAATTGTCTGTGAGCTGATTTCCAGCTACAAGGAGAAAAAGAAAAAGAGATTATGCAGGAGGGAGATGCAGGGAACAGGGATTGGGTGTTCTGCAAAGAAAGTTGGAGGTAAATCATTTTGCAGTTGCTGTTATGCTGATGTTGTGGCTGGTCAAGCAAATGTTTGTGCTTGTTTCTGTATGATATAATTGTTCATATATCTATTAAAATACTGATATTCTGATCGATAACTCCTCCCCGAACTTCCCTCTGCCCTGTATCTTGGTCTCTCATTGGCTGTAGGTCATCGCCGATGTAGTTTTCAGTCAGAAATCTTTGCACACAGCGTAATTGTGAATCGCTCCAGATATTTAGCATGCCAAATATTTTGCGGCCAACGTGTCGACGATTCCCTCAGATTGCGTCTTTGATAATTCACACTACGTGATTGTCACTCGCGTGAACGAGCACCGATTTGCCTCCGATTTCGGGCATCTTTCAAACTTTATCTGGAATGTCACTGTTTCTGTCACTGCAGCTTCCCGATCAGGCGAACGCGCGAAATCGTCTGCCTCATGAACATTTTTTTTTTTTTAAATGTAGTTAATATTTGCATAATTTACGATTTATTTTATCCACCCGCGACTGTTGTTTGTCATTTCTCCGATCACAAATGCAGACAGAGTTTTATGTTTATGCATAAATGACCGTAAAATTCATTATAATCAGTAATTATGTCCCCACTGGATGCAACAAATGCCTCGTTTGTAATGTGTTTTCATGTTTTTGAATCATCGCTCCAGCTGGACACGGCATCACAGTATGGTGAGGGGCGTAACATTTCCGTCACACGCTTGAGGTATTCGGCCAATCACAACGCACTGGATAGCTGGCCAATCAGAGCACACCTCGCTTTTTCAGAACGATGAGCTTTGTAAAAATCGACGAGATTCAAAAAGGCGGGGCATAGAGGAGAAACAATAATGTACAGTATGTGGAAAATAATGTGTTTTTTTTTTTTTTACTTTAAACCACATAAGCACATTTCATTACACCACATACACAAAATAATGTTCTTTTTAGCAACATCATATGACCCCTTTAACTTCGGGCCAGGCGCGTGCGCCCGATGAAACCGTCTATATAAAGCTTGAAGCATCAGAATCAGTATCGGCCGATCACGATGACAAGAAATCGGTACTCTGTTTCAGCTTCAAAAATCCTGATCGGAGCATCCCTAATTTTTAGAATGATTTTTTCCAGCTGATGAACCATACAAACATTGACAGCTAATCAGAATCCATCCTGCTGTAATGAGCTCAAGAATTTAAAGTGGCAGGTGCGCTTAGAATAAACAGACGATATCGTTCGCTGGTGTGGATGCTAATATCGTTATCGCGTTAAAGTTTTTGTTTACATAATATATGTATGTGTACTGTGTATTTTTATTATGTATATATAAATACACACATATGCATGTATATATTTCAGAAAAATGTTACTTGTATATATTAAATATATTTATTTATAATATAAATTATATGAATATAAATATAGACTAGGGCTGCACGATAAATCACAGCGGTAAATCTCCATCACGTGCGTGCTTTCACATTGAGCAGTATTAACTACACAGAGCCGTTGTTCACTGACGAGCTGCGCAAAACCACGTTCATATTTGCGTGATTTTTTGCGCAGCTCGTCAGTGAACAACGGCTCTGTGTAGTTAATGTTGCTCAATGTGAAAGCACGCAGGTGATGGAGATTTACCGCTGATTACAGAACCGGCTTTCTGACAAGATGCGCATTAAAAATCGCATGCGATTTATCGTGCAGCCCTAATATAGACATGTAAATACATGTAAATATTTTCAAAATATACACTGTATGTGTATTTATATATAGGCTACATAATAAATATACACAGAACACACGCATATTACACAAACAAAAACTTTTATTATGGTTGCGATTTAATCGCGATGTATTTTTTTTAATTATTTAAAAATATTTATTTTTACATAAAATTGTTCAGAATTATAGATGTTACATTTCCTTTTCTTCAAAGTTCATCTGAGGCGAAGAGTTTTGTAACATCAAAAAATAACACACTTTACCTTTACTTTGACCTTTGAGACATGAGTGCTGTAGGATGTCCCAGTGTGACATGTTGTCCATGAACCCAGCTGTATGTCTCTATTGTGTGTGTGTGTCTGAACGTTATCAGGATGTTTCCTGGGTGTTTTATTGAGAGAAAGGGAGTCTCTGCCCTCTGAGGCTTTACTGAGGATTTATTCCCATAGCAACAAGCTCTTATCACCTCAGCCAATCACAATTCAGAATAAACTCTCCCCGTGTATCTCTCTCTGACACACACACACACACACAGTGGTTTAGTATGTTGCTTTCAAAAGTCTGTCTACTAAACTAAAATGCCAGGTCATCATATTTTTATTGGTTTGTTGGGAAATGTATATCAGGTTGAGAATTGAAATGTATTTATTGGCTGAAACAGTAGTTTCATATTTTAGTGTTACCTTTCATACTTTTGTTTTATTAATATTTTCATGTTAACTGTTTCTAGATATTTAGAAGGTAGTTCCATTGTGACAACATGCCCCACCATTATTAGTTCAATGAGTTTTCAGCAAACCGTGATTTTTCGTGGGCAATAATGATGTAAATGCAAGTAAAATAGTTGTTTTTTAGCTGAGACTTTAAAGTTTGAGTATATAGGAGTTGACTTTTAAAAATAGACCTACGCTGAGAAATAAGTAAAAGTGTGACAGTCTCTCCTATATGGGACACATCAAGCCTGAATGCACATGTCCATATTAATTCATAAAAATTGATTGTTCAATGAATTCTTTCACCTCTTGTGTCCTTTCCTTGTTTGCGTAATGAAAGGTGTTTCCTCGCTCAGATTTCATCTGTCCCAGATTGCCTCGATCTTCCTTATGTGACTCAAATGCGACTGTTTTAAATGGATTCTAGTAAGCATTGTTCTTACATGATGTTCATCAGCCCGAAGCCAAAAACATTATGCTGTTTGGAATGCTGTTATATCACGTACCCGGAAAAACAATTTCCACCAATAATTCCCTGCTTTCCAGCAGTGTTAACAGGTCACAGAACACACCCATCATGCACTGCATAATGCACACGCACAATATGATCAGACACTCACACAAGCTTTGATTCTTTGCATTATTTATCAGCATGATCCTCCTTAAGTCGACGGTTAGTATCACTACTGAGTCAGTCATATAATGCGCGCACACACAGTGCAGTGAGGAGTGGGATGAGGGCCAGTTCTGTTAGACCAGTGCTAATGACTGTGACTCACAGAACAAATGTCTTACTGCGTGTATGCAATGGTTTTTTGAAACTCTGGGCCAAATGTCTCAGCACGCTCACAGGGAACCGACCCAAAGACCAACAGTATATAAAACAGTTTTGAAAGGGTCTTCATAGTTGCCAAATATCATGTTTGCATGCTCTTGTTATTATTTTAGGTATTTTCTCTCTTTTAATTAATTAAATGTTGATCTTTAGTCTGTCATTTCTTATGTAGAGTAAGGGTCTTTAATAAGTGATAGTAATGGTCAACTGATGTGAATTTTTTAGTGGTTGACGTCTAGGGAGTAGGGTGGATTATTATTAGTAGTATATAAGGAAATATTATGCAATTTTATAATACTTTGTTGCATATTTTTATTTATATAGAGAGACTTCTCGCATACACTGAAATTTTTTTTTCCTTATCTCCTTTTTAATTATGTTTATACATTTTTTTACCTTTCTTTTATTACCAATTTACCAGATTTTTTTTTTGCCATTTATATGGCCTCAGACAATCAAATAAATTGGTTTTATGTATGACCGATTTCTCATAATGGCCCAATTTCATTTGATTAATCAACCTGTCTGATATATTAGGTTAATATATTGGTATATTAATAATATTGGTTTATTAATAATATATTGTATTATTAATCTTCCTTATGCGTCTATCTTTATTTAATCCTATGTGCATTTCCCCTCTGCATATTCCTTTCTCTTTGTCTCGAGTATGTTTATTAATTTATTCAGCTTATTAATATTATATATTGAAAATTTTATGTGTTATATAAAAATGTATAAAAATTATATATTTGTAACTAATAT